GCCGCTCGGATCCATTAATGAGGACGGGAGAGTAATTGCATCCTGGTGGAGCCCGAAAACCTCTTGCAGAACGACGGTCAGGATCCGGGCGCCGCTGCGGGGTCCCTCCCCTCAGGAGGAGTCGCGGTCCATGCTGCACCCCAGGGCTTCGATGTCGTTGCTGATGTGCGAGATCATTCGGTCCCACTCGTCCTCCTCGGAAGGGACGGACTGGTCATCCGAGCTGCCGGCGGCGCCGTTGCCGTTGGTGGTGGAGTTGGAGGTGGTGCTCAGAGTCCGCCTGTACCTCCCGAAACTGTCCGTGATGATGCCCCGGCCGTCCTTCACCCCGATGGTCTCAAGGAAGTTCTCGAAGTGTTGGCTGTCCTTCTCAGGGATGAAGGGGCGAAGACCTGGATCGGGGAAGAAAACGAGGAGGAAATTGTTAGCGGACTCATGGCTCTCCTCTGGCACGGGCATGCAAGGGAGACACCGGGAGAGATGTCCACACGGACTTATTCAGCTGTCTGAAATTCCCCGGGGTTTCCAAGCCTTCCAGCAGAGCCTGGATCTTGAGGCCAGCTGCGATGTTCCCCTCCAGCTCCCCAAAATGGCACAGGGTGGGACAGGGAACACTGGAGTCTCCGGCTCATGGCCACATCTCCCAGCTCCCAAAAATGTCACAGGGTGGGACAGGTAACTCTGCAGTCTCCTGCTCGGGGCCACATCTCCCACTTACACTCCTGAGAGCTGCAGCCGCTGCCCACTGAGGACAAAATCCTGCTCAAGTGGGATTTTTCTGAGCTCAAAAGGATCGTCTGCTACTTCCTCGGTGAAACATATTGCTCGGCTTTACCGAGCTTATTGCTGCAACGGCATTAGCCGGCGACTCGGGCGCCTGGAGGAGCGTCTGTTCCGTCTCCCTCGGCCCGTGCCCCGTGGGGCGGCTGTCACCGCTGCGCAGCAGAGAGGGTCAGCGGGGCGCAGGTTAGGCACGCTGCTCGTGATGCTTTGAGGATTTTCAATAACTTGTTTTTTCTTTGTAATTAAAGGTAGAGCGAGGGTCCTCAGTCGCGTTTAAATGTCTTTTTCTCCAGCTGGGCCCCATCCTGCTCCATCTGCAGTCATGGAGTAGCTGCCCTGCCAAGCACCGTGTCTCTCCCTACCCCCTCCATGGTGCGTGTCCTCACCAGCCAAAAATGAGATATGGCCCCTGCTTCCCATCATCCTGCAGTCCCATGCCCCTGCAGCCGCTACCCAGCCGCTTGGAAGAAAACTCTGGCTGCTCAAAAAGGGTTGGACTTGATGATCTTAAAGGTCTTTTCTAACCTAAACAATTCTAAGATTCTAAAAACGGAAAGAAAAACCTTTACAGGAGCTTTCCAGCGTACTCTGAGCCTGGGCAGAAGGTTTGCTGCTCCTCACCGCTGTCTCCCACCGCCCACCCCAGTCAAACCTAGGGCGAGTGCTCAGCCCCACTCTGCCGTGGGACAGTGCGGCACTGGTGTGACCGCCTGGGACGGGAGAAGCA